AGCCCGAAACGTCGCCGTTTGGGGCCCTCTTGGGACGCTCTGGGAGCGCTCTTGGGGGCATTGTGCCCCCCCTTACCAGACTGACTTAATGGCCCCTCTTGTGGCTCTCTCTCTCTCTCTCTCTCTCTCTGGCGATATTCGAGCTATTTTGAGGCCTCCGAGGTTTATCGAAAGCAACAAGTGAGGAGGCTTACATCATTGATCGGCGAATGTTGCTGAGTGGTGCTTGCGGTTTCTGAGAACTTTCGCGCAGATACGCAGGCTCAGTACCTGCACCCCCGAGCCCCGAGCTCCCGACCGAGACCGCGCCCGCGTGCGAGCCCGAGGGCATCGAGGAGGAGCTCGAGAGCGCCATGGTCGGCGTGGGCCACTGCTGGGCAATTGCTTGACGAGACGGGGCTCGCGGGGCGCAGTCGACGCAGAGCCTGCGGCAGAGGCGCCCGTGGTGAAGCCCGTGGCAGGGACAGGAGCAGATGCCGACCGCGGGTGCACCGTCACCTACGCCCGGAAGCGCAGGTCGGCGCGCTTGTACGCGGTCGGCGGCGTCGGCTGGGCCGCGGGCACGCATCCGATAGCGACTCGGAGCTCCGCGGCGAGGTTCCCAGGCTCCGCGGGGTGCGGTTCCGCGCGCCAGAGGTGCCGAGAGCAGGTCGCAGCCGCCGTCGCATCGTTGGGGGACGAGGCGGCGACGGCGAGCTCGTCCTGCGCCAGCGCCAGCGAGGTCGGGCTCCGCAGCCCGTCCACGAACGGGCTGCGGGCGCCCGAGTGGCTCCCACTCGGACGCGTTGATCAGGCTACGGGGCCCTGCGCGAGCGCCCTCCTCCGGTTGCGAGCGCCCCCCACCCCCGCTGGCGTAGCCATGCTTCGCCCGCGCCAGACTTGAGCCAAAGGCTCAACATGGAGGGGGATCATCTTCCCCACAAGTGGGCCCGAAACCCCCACAAGTGGGCCCGAAACCAACCAGGATGATCCCCCAACCTTCGCGCGCTCGCCACGGACTGGCGCGGGACGCGGATCACATCGCCTGGGCCCCAAAGCGGAGGAGGATCATCATCCCCTCTAAGGAGCCCTAGATCAAAGGCGATGATCCTCCAGACCTGGCGCGCTCGCCACGGACCAGCGTAGGGCGCGGATCGCATCGCCTGGGCCCCGAGAAGAGCTTGGGGGGTGCTGGGGGGGGGGGGGGATCACCCCTCCCCGCTGCTGGGCGCCCCCCCCGCAGGTGAAGCCCTGCCTCGCGTCGGACGCCCCCGCCGCGGCGGGGGGGCGCCTCGGGCGCCATGGGGCCGCCGCCGCGGCGAGGGGCGGGGACCTCGGCGGCCTCCCAGCTCTGCCCCAGCCGCGCCCCGTCTGCCCCATGGAGGCAGGCAGGCGGGCCAGCGCCCCCGACTCCGGGGCACCCCTCGCCTGCCCACGGGCCCGCGGACAACGCCGAGCGGCGGGCTTCGCTTGGGCGGCCGGGGGGGGGGGCGTCGATCGCGCGGGGGGGGGGCCGCCCCGGACGGCCCCCCCCCCAAGGGGGCCCCGCCGCGCCTCGCCGGGGAGGCGGGCGCGCGCCCCCCCCCCCCCGACTTCTGGAGCACGGGCAGTCGCGGGGCGGTCTGCTGCCGGGCTTTCGCGGGGCTGCGGGGCCAGCCCGCGTCGAGAGAGGCTCGCCCGCCCCCCCCCCTGGAGGCAGCACGCGCGCCCCGGCGAGGGGGCCCGCTGGCCCCGGCCTCTCGCCCGCGAGGTGCGGGCTCGAGCCTGTGTCGGCCAGGCCGCGCGCGGCCCGGCCCGCGGGCCGGGCCCGCCGCGGCCGGGCCCGGCCTGGCCCAGGATCCCGATTTGCCGACGCCAGTCTGGTCAATTCTCGGGGCGATGCGGCTCAAGAATGCGGTTTGGCGACACAGGTCGAGCAGGCTCGGGGGCTGGAGGCCGCCCGGAGGAGGATCGCCTGGCTGGGCGCAGGCATCATCATGCCCAGCCAGATGCCCACCATCAGGACCGAGCTGCGCCGCAGCTGCTCAAGCTGTGCCTCACCTGCCCGCTCGGCGAGGACGCGTGCAGCCTCGCGGCGAGGAGCGCTCCGGGCGAGGCGGCGGCTCCCGCCCCCGAGCCCAGGCGCTGGCCGACGAGCAGAGCATCCGCAGGGAGGCCAGGCGGCGGGTCCAGCAGGAGCGGATGCCACCCCAGAGGAGGAGGAGGAGGAGGAGGAGGAGGAGGAGGAGGAGGAGGAGGAGGAGGAGGAGAACTTGGCGACGCCGCTGGCCTTGAGCAGCCTGGCTGCTGGCCGCCAGCAGGGAGCCCCCTCGGCCCCCGCTCTCGGCTGCCGCGCTCGCGGCGGCAGGCACACGCGCGACCGCCCGCCCCCCACGGCGGCCGCCCGCCGAAGCAGGCGCGCGCGGGCGGCCGAGCGGCAGGCGGCAAGACGGGCGGCCAGGCGGATCCCGAGGCGAGCGTGCAGACGCTGGACGGCAGGCCCATCTGCACCCGCTTCGGCTCGCGCGCGGGCCGCTGCGAGTGCAAGCGCTGCCGGTCCCTACACGTCTGCGCGTAGTGTTCAGTCGGGCCTGTCCCCTTTGTAGGGGGATTTTCGAGGGACAGTTTAGAATAGTCCAAACATAATCAAAGATGGCAAAACAGTCATCAGCAAATCGTCCCCTGGCTATTTTTTGACTGTTGTTGGAAATTCCCCCCTGTAGAGGGACACGCCCGACTTGGGCGTCGTGCGTCAGCAAGGGCGACCCGCAGCGCGAGGGCCCAGGGCCCGCGCGCGGGGCGGGCGCCCGGGGCGAGGCGCCCTCGGGCGCGCCCCTCGGCGAGGCAGGCGCCGCAGGGACGCCTCGCAGCCCCGGCGAGGGCAGCGGCGGGCGCCGAGGGGGCGCGGCGGCCGCCCCGAGCCGCCGCTGGCTCCGCCGTCGGCCGCCGCCGTCGCCGGTGCCACCCACCGGGCTCGAGGCCTCGCGACTTCGCCTTGGCGTCGCTCGGACGTGTGCACTGTTCCCTGGGCGAGCGAGGAGCATCGAGGAGCACCCTTGATCCTTTGGCGCAGAAAGCCACGCACGAAACAGAAAAAAGCACAGGGAATGGACGTCCCAGCGATGGCCAGTCGCAGGCGCTTCCAGCTCGGCACGCAGGAGATGGGTACGGGGAGAAAAGGGCACGGTGCCCAGCAGCAGTTCCTGTTCCTTTTGAGCAGGGCTCGCTGTCCGCGCCGCCGCGGCCCGTGTCCATTCGAAGCAAACGGCCGCCTGCCCCACAGCGGCCGCTGTTGGTTTGGGACAACATTTGTTGTTGGGCATTGTGCCCATTATTTCCGTACCCATTGCGAGCGTTGGTCCTCGGTTGTCGAGTTGTTTGGTCCTCGGTTCATGGAGGGTGCCCCGGGCCCCAAGCGAACCGACCGATCAGGCTTAGGGGGGCCGGGTGGCATGTGCCTCTGGGATTACCTGCAGGCTTTCCGGCTGAACCAAGAAAAGGCTCGGCAGCTTTGCCTGTCCTTCCAGGAGCCAGCCACTGTAGGTCCGATGGACCCTCTGGGTGTTTTGGTATGAGCTGTTTGTCGAACTCTCTTGTTGTCCCTCTTGAGGGCGCGCGATCATCCTCATCCTCCCCCTCCGCCTTCCTTCCCTTTGCCGTCGATTCCCTACTTACCCTCTCCTCCTCGTCTCCCCTCCCCCTTTTCCTCCTCCTCCTCATCATCGTCATTCTCTGCTTCGTCCCCCCTCGGAGCCTTGTCTTCTTCTGGCGGAGCCAACCGATTTGCTGCCCGCGCAACCAGCATGTGCTGCGTTGCTCCCCCCTGTCGCACGGCCCTCGGCGCGGCCCACTGGGTCAGGCACGATTGGGGGAGTGCGTTCGTTTTGTCGTTTTGTGCGTTTGTCTTGGGGGAGGAAGGGAGGAGGAGGAGGAGGAGGAGGAGGAGGAGGAGGAGGAGGAGGAGGAGGAGGAGGAGCAGCAGGAGCAGCAGGAGCAGCAGGAGCAGCAGGAGCAGCAGGAGCAGCAGGAGCAGGAGCAGGAGGAGCAAGGGGAGGGGGAGGAGGAGGAGGAGGAAGAGGGAGGAGGAGGAGGAGGAGGAAGAGGAGGAGGAGGAGAGGAGGAGGAGGAGGAGGAGGAGGAGGAGGAGGAGGGAGGCAGGAGGAGGAGGAGGAGGAGGAGGAAGAAGAAGAAGAAGACGAAGAAGAAGAAGAAGAAGAGGAGGAGGAGGAGGAGGAGGAGGAGGAAGGGCAGCAGGAGGAGCGGGAGGAGGAGGAGGAGGAGGAGGAGGAGGAGGAGGAGGAGGAGGAGGAGCAGCAGCAGCAGCACCACCACCACCACCACTACCACCAGTATGTTTTCTGAGTCACTGCTGGCCGAGGGGTCGCAGCTGCTGGTTAAAACGCCGACTCCAGGCCGCCGGGGTACGAGCGCAGGAGGAGAATGTGGAGGCTTCCTCTGCTGTTCCTCCTGCTGCTCCTCCTTCCTCCCCCTTCCTCTCCACCCCTTCGTGCTCTTCCTGCCTCGTCGTGCATCTATGTCCCGCTCGTTCTCGTGATCCTCCCTCCTATCCCACCCTGCTTGTCCTGCTCCTCCACCACCTTCCTCCCGTTGCTGATGCGCCTCTTCATCATCGTGCTCCGTTTCCTAATCCTCGCTCACCCCTCTCATCCTCGTCGTCCCCCTCATGTCATTCCTCTGTGCGTCACCCCCCTTCCTTCCCCATCCCCCGTTCCTCCTCCTTCCCCTCCATCCTCCTCCTCCTCCTCCTCCTCCTCCTCCTGCTGCTCCTCCTTCCTTCCCCCCTCCCCCCGTTCCTCCCGCCTCTCGCTCCCCACTGCTCCGCCGAACAATTTGACCGATGGCGGAGCCGCTCGGGGAGCCAGCTGGGCCCAGCGCGGAGCTGCCGAGAAAGGCCTCCTCTTCTTCCTCCCTCCACCCCCTTTCCTCGCAGGAGGGGCCGGCTCGGACAGGTCCTCCCGCGCGGCACACTCGGTCCCCGGACCCCTCCTGGGGTTCCCCACCCCGGCTTGGGTTCGAGGCGGGTCCAGCCGTGCGCGTCCGCCGGCGCGCGCGCCGCGCGCGCGCGCCATGGCGGCCGGACCCGCGGCCACCGCGCCGGCGCGGGCGCTGCTGGGCGAGTTCGCGCCGTGGGTGCGGAGGCGGGCCGTCCGGAGGGGGGGGGGGGCGTCGGGGCCTCCCACGGGCGGTCGGCGGCGAGCCCCCCCCGGGGGGGGGGAGGCGAGGAGCGGGAGGGGAAGAAGCACACAGACACAATGCTTCGTCGATGCCCCAGAGGATATTTAACGGGCGAAGAACGGTATAAGATAAACTTCCACCGTAGGGGTATAAACTTTCCAGCCACCCAGGGACAGGCGCCCCCGACAGCGAAAAAGTTTATTTTATACCGTTCTTCGCTCGCTGAAATATGGGAAAATACGGGAAGAGGGGGGGAGACACGAACCCAGAAATTTTGGGAAAACATCTGGTGATTCCTGTTATTTGTGTCTATTGATTTGCGTGTCCCGGGGCCCCTTCAGAGGAGGAGAAGGCCGTCTCAGAAGGCTCAGAAGGCTCTCGAATCGACTATAGACGTAAGAGTGACCTTTCGCCCGCGTGACCTTTGGTGCGGGCACAGGCGGGCCCCTAGATGGCTGAAAACGAAGCGGCAGCAGCGGCCTGCGCGCCCAGGTTTGGTCTCCCCGCGACCCCCAAAAAGCCGCGCACCAACGGTCACTCTTACCCAGGGTCACTCTTGCGTGTAGCCGATCGAAGTCCACTGGCCTTCTGAGAAGTTGTCTTGAGCCTCCCCCGAAGGCAGAGAAGGCTTCTCCGAGTGCGCGAGAGCGTCGGAGAAGTCCCGCCGCCTTCTGAGAGGGCCTTCTCCTTGTCACCTCCCCCCCTCGCTCGCGGCCGAGATGGGGTCCGAGTAGATACGGTCGGAGGATCTCGCCGCATCGCTGATGCATCGACGATGCGGAGCGACAATCCGACGCTTTCTGCCTTCGACCCTTGGCTCGGGGGGCGCGATGGAGGGAAGGAGGGTCAGAGTTTGCGGAGATCGGTTATCGGGGTGTTTGGACGCTTGTGTGCCTTCTGGGGGGCCTCGCGGGATTCTTCTCGTCGCCGCTGCAGGGTTGCCCTCACACCCTGACCAGACCGCACGCCAGAACAGGTCCAGGGAACAATACAGTCGGGGCGCTGAAGAAGGAACCCTTTTCATTGGGGAGGGGCTCCGTGTTCCTTAATTGTTTCGCAGCTTGCCTCAGGTTTTCCTTAGGCTTCCAATATGAAATCGAAGTTTGACTTATGGAAAATAGGGGCCTCGTTCCTTATTTAGGGTTCCTTAGGTCAACGTCCCGACTGTATTCTCTGAGAGAGGGGGACCAAGTCCCACCGCGTCGCGAGAAACAACGCCACATTCAGGAGGGGAAAAAACACATAGACACAATTGATCCTCCCAGGAAAGTATGGGAAAATATGGGAAGCGGGGGGGGGGGAGACAAAAACCCAGAAAGTGTGACAAAATGGGGAATCCGGTTATTTGTGTCGATTTATTTGTGTATCACAGGGCCTCTTCACACATGGAGTTCTTGCTCCTGGGCTCAGGCCCTGTGTTACTTGTGAGTATCGGGCCGTTTTCGAGCGAAACCGGAAGAGTGTGTAGCAGCAGCCGTCGGATTCGCCGGCAGATTCTTCACGCGTGAACATACTCGCGCGGAAGAGGTTATCAAGCACGCGTTTGGCGCGCATTGATTTGGCGCTTTGGCACGAGTTATCACGCGTATGCGCGCAAAGGGCGGGCATTCCTCATGCGCTTGACATGTGTTTCCATTTGCACCCTGGAGGCCACGTGCGGTATCCGACATGCATGTGGTCCCTGCTTTGACGTGTGGTTTGTTCCTGGGCACGCCTCTCCCCTGGCACAGTCAGGACGCTGGAACACGGGACGGCTCGGATTCGGAAGGGGCTCTCCGCCAGCGCCTTTCGTGCACCCATGCATTGTTGGTGCCAAACGTTGGCTTCGATCCTTACTTGGAATTCCTTACTGACTATGCTCGACATGCGTGTGGCGTGTGTTTTGTCATGCCATTTGTTCCCCCACGCACCTGGGTGCGCCTCTCTTCCGTCAGCGAGAGGGGACAACGGCGGCCCTCGCAGCCCCTGGGAGCCCAAGAGCCCCCCAAGACGCCCAAAAACGCACCAGAACCTCGACGGCCGATCCAGCGAGGGAGCCCCAGCCGTCGCCGACGCCTGTCTCAGTTGGCCCTCCGAGGTTCGGGTCGAACGACGAGGCTTGGCATCGCTCGGACGTGTGCGCTTTTTCCTCGGCGAGGACCATCGAGGAGCATCCTTGATCATTTGGCGAAAAAGCCACGCACGAAACCGACAAAAAACACAGGGAATGGACGTCCGAGCGATGGCCACCGAGGGGGATAGGGAAAGGGGGACTACGGAGCCGCTGCGTCCAGCTGGTTTCGGCCCAGCTGCTGGGCACTTTCCTCGATTGTTTTGGTGCCTCCAGCGCTGGGAGGCGCCGGTAAAGCCAGCAATCGAATAGCCTTCGGCCCATCCCGCCACTGTGCCTGTGTTGTAAGTATGAAGCCTATTGGATGTTTGTTGGGATCTCGCGGGAGGCTTCTCGAGGGCCTCTTCGAGGCAATTTTGAGGCCTCTCGGGGGCAGTTTGGGGCCCCCTGAGGGCCTCTTGTGGGCCTCTTGGTGGCCTCCTGGGGGTCTCTTAGGGAACTCTTGGGCCTCTTGGGTGCCTCTTCGGGCCTCCTGGGGGCCTCCTGGGGCGGAAGGCGCGGACCTTCGGTCCGTGTTCCCTCTCTTGGGCCCCTTTGGTAGCCGTCTTGGGGCCCTCTCGGGCCGTCTTGGGCGCCTCTTGGGCAGTCTTGGGGCGATCTGAGGCCGCCTTGGGGCCCTCTTGGAGGCCTTTTGGGCTGTATTGGGGTGGTCTTGGGGGCCTCTTGCGCCGTGAGTTTCGGAAAGCCGAAAAGGCGAAACGCCAAAATCTAGTGAACACCAAATGAAAAACAAGATTCGTGCATCTTGAGGCCCTCTTGGGAGCCCTCGTTGGAACCCAATAGGGGGCGTCTTGGAGGCCTGCCTCTTGGGCCATCTTGAGGCCATCTTTGGCGTCTTGGAGCGATCGCTCGGCGACTCGGGGCCCTCTTGGGCCGTCTGGGGAGCCTCTTGCCCTGACCTTCCAGAGCGCTAAAGAATAGCACTCCAGACCTATAGATCTATCTGGACTGCCTCAAACCTCGACAGGAATTAGGACGTCGACGTCCTGGTGCTATTTTTTAGCCCTCCTGGAAGGTCAGGGTCATCTCCTTCTCCTCAGGCAGACACTCCTCCCTCCGAGGGGCCACATCGGCCTCTGGGCCGCGGGAGGCCCCCCCCGAGAGCCCTCTGGGCCTCGGGAGGGGGGCGCTCCCTGGAGGCCGCCGGCGCCCCTTCCTCCGGGAGGAGCTGCTCGACTGGACGTAAGAGTGACCCTTCGCCGGAGTTGCCTAGGAGGAGGGGGAGGAGGAGGAGGAGGAGGAGGAGGAGGAGGAGGAGGAGGAGGAGGAGGAGGAGGAGGAGGAGGAGGAGGAGGAGGAGGAGGAGGACGAGGAGGAGGGGGGGGGAGGAGGAGGAGGAGGAGGAGGAGGAGGAGGAGGAGGAGGAGGAGGAGGAGGAGGAGGAGGAGGATAAGGAGGAGGAGGGTAAGGAGGAGGAGGAGGAGGAGGAGGAGGAGGAGGAGGAGCAGGAAGAGGAGGACAGGCACATTTCGGGAGCCTTGAGACGGGGGTCCATGCAGACGGGGGTCAGCCAGGGCAGCGGATCCTGCAGGATCTTGCGAAGACCCCCTCTGGCTGACCCGGGTTCGCGAGCCGCTCGTGGCCGCGAGGCGGCCGCGCATATTGGCTGACCCGGGTTTGCGAAGATCTGCGTTGCAGTCTTTTTCCTGCATTGCAATGTTTGCTTTCCTGCTGACCCAGGTCTGGATTGACCCGGCTCAGAAGATCCCCGAACATTGGGATTCCCCGATCGCCGAAATCGACGTGCTGGTAGCGTCTTGCGCGCCTGTGTTTGGTCACCCCGCGGCCCCCCCAAAGCCGCGCACCAAAGGTCACTCTTACCCAGGGTCACTCTTGCGTGTAGCCGAGCTGCGGCTTCCTTTGGAGCGCCCCACGAGGACGGAGGGTACGGCCAACAGGCCTACTCAAGCAGTGGCGAAGCGTCCTGGCTCGCCTACCAAACAATGTTCTAAGGACCTCTTGTGGTTTCCACCAAATGTTCTCAGAGCATTTCTGGCGGAGTCTGCTTTGTTTTATCACATCGGGCTTATGTGATGTGAACATTGTTTTGTTCTTCTAACATTTTTGTGTTCTACGAACAGTTCATGGTAGGACAATAGGAATGCCGGGACGGTCGGTCCCTGCTCAGCCTACGGTCCCGCTTATGATTGAGAAACCTCCCCCCGAAAAGCTGGCCCAGCGTTTCTTGGCCACCTCGCCGGAGAGCTGGCTCAGCTTCGTAAGGGGATTGGCAGCCCTGGATCCTGGAAAGGAGCAGTGCACGCTCCGGGCTCCCGAAGCTGGCCTTGCGTTTCCTTGGGAAACTTCTGCAAAGCTGGCCCAGCTTTCTTCATTGACAGTGTTCTTAATCATACGTCGGAAGCTGGAACAGATACATTACCAGTGGCGGCCTGTTTTCCAATCCCCAGGACTTCCTGAGGGTCGAGGACGACGCTGGGGTGGTGTGGTGTATACTTTGTTCCCCGATGTCCAGGGGAAACAACGAAAAATGCATACACCCGGGGGCGGCAAAGAGGGGGGGTGATGACTAGGGGGGGCTGGATATCATGGCGGGGGCCATGATATTTCCCCAGATGTCATGGCGCCTCTTCTTGTTTCATTACGTCCCTGGCCCCCCCCCCGCTGGGCCGCGCACATGCCGCCGGTCATGATTTGCACCCCCCCCCTCTTGGACACCCCCTTCTTGGCCGCTCCCGATACACCAGGGTCCAGTATACACCAGGATCCGCTCTCCAGTGCAAATTCAGCCAGTGGCCTGGAGAGGGCGCCACCCCCTCCGCCGCACCGGCCCCCTCCCCCTTGGGAGGGCCCGGGGCTCCCCTGGGCAGGCAGGGCACCGCCCCCCCCCCCGAGAGCTGTACTAAAGCAGTGGCGAAGCGTCCTGGCGTGCCCACAGGCCTACCAAACAATGTCCTAAGGACCCTTTGTGGTTTCCACGAAATGTTCTCAGAACATTTCTGGCTGGGATTGTCTTGTTTCAACACATCGGGTTCGTGTTCTAAGAACATTGTTTTTGTTTTTTGAACGTTGCCGGGTTCTAAGAAGACTTCGTGATAGGACTATAGGAATGCCGGGTCGGTCGGTCCCTGCTCATGGAAGAGGGGGGGCAGTCGTCGTGGTCGGACGGCGGGGTGGCTCGGGTCAGCGCGCGAAGAGGTTGCTTGGGGGGGGGAGGAGGGGGGAGGGAGGGGGGAGGGAGGGGAGGCACGAGCGGGAGGAGGAGTTGGAGGGGGGGGGGGGAGGAGGGGGAGGAGGGGGAGGAGGAGGAGGAGGGGGAGGTGGAGGAGGAGGAGGGATGGAGGAGGAGGAAGGGAGGGAGGAAGGGAGGGATGGAGGGTACGTACGACCACGACGGGACATCATCTTGGGGACTTTCCTCCTCCTCCTCCTCCTCATCCTTTTCCTCCTTCCTCCCCTCTTCACTTACCATCGTCGCCCCCCCCACTGCTCAATATACGCCTTATTTGGCGGGGGGGGGGTGCGCGCCCTGGCGAGCAGGTACAACGCGGGCGCGGCGCTGCTGGGCGTGGCGTTCGGCGCGTGGGACGCCCCCGAGATGAGGGGGCGAGCGCCCGGCGCCGCCAGCCCCGAGGCCGGCGGCAGCGTCGGTGCCACCCTGCCGCCCTTCGGAAGGGCCGGCCCGAGAGGAGGAGCAGGAAGTTCCTGCTCCTCCTCTCGGGCCGACCAAAAAAGGGGGGATCGGGAAAGGGGGGGGGGGTACGAAAGCTGCTGCGTGCAGCGGGCTTCGGCCCCGCCGAGGGGCCCATTCCTCGATACATGGCCGCCTCCGGCGCCGGGGGGCGCCGGGAGAGTCAGCTCCGTGAGCTGCTTCTCAGACCCCCTCCTTTGCCCTGACCTTCCAGAGGGCTACAAAATAGCACTCCAGACCTATAGATCTATCTGGACTGGCACCAGGACGTCGACGTCCTAATTCTTTTCGAGGTTTGAGGCAGTCCAGATAGATCTGAAGGTCTGGAGTGTTATTTTTTAGCCCTCCTGGAAGGTCAGGGTGCTGTCCCCCCCTTTCGCCCGGCCCGAGCGTCGGCGCCACCCTGCCGTCCTTCTTGCCCCTCCTCCTGCCCTTCCTGGTCGTTCCTGTGCGTCGCCGCGCCATCTTCAGGAGGGAAAAAAACACAGACACAATTTCTCGTCGATTCCCCAGAAAATATGGGAAAATATGGGAAGTGGGGGGAAGACGGAAACCCAGAACCTATGAGACAATATGGGGGATATTTTTATTTGTGTGTATTTATTTGTGTGTCCCAGGGCCCCTTCACTCCTGCTTTTCCTGGTCGTTTCTGTGCGTCGCCGCGCCACCTGTTCCGACGCGCGGCCTTCCGTCTTGTGGAGGGCGCCGCGGCCACCGGGGCAAACTCCGCTTCGGGCGCAGGGCTTGCCGTTGGCTTTGCCGCGGCGCCGCTGCTGCGTCTCCTGGGGCGCGGGGCGCCTGGTTTGCCGTGGGTTGGAGCCGCGGTGTCGGCGTCGTGCACCTGGGCGCGTCGAGAACAGGCGGCGCAGCGGCATGTGCTGGCTAGCCCATTCGTGCGTGCCGGGGGAGGCTCTGAACCAGGCGATCGTGAAACTGAGATGTTGCCACTCCGTGCTCGTGAGCTCCGAGCTCACGGGTTGACGTTCCACTCTTGTCAGAGGTTGCGTGCAGAGTTGCTGGATCAGCCGCAGTGGCACGGCACACACAGTCGGCCCAGATCAGTAGGTCGACCCTGCCACATCAAGGGTGCCCTTGTGTCCTGTGTCTCGCAACCCATGCTTCCTACATTCCTGCGGCAATGTGGCCCTCGGAAGGGTTTTGTGTCCTTTTGCGTGTCCTGTCCAATCGAGTCCGACTGTGCAGCGCTCGACTTCAGGCGTTGCGCTGAGCTCTCGTGGCTTGCCAGCTGAGCAGCCAGTAAGGTGGTTTCATCACCTCGCCCCCCCCCCAGGTTCAGGAGGAAAAGAATCACACAGACACAATTAATCGTCGACTCCCCCAAAAAATATCGGAAAATATGGGAAGTGGGGGGGAAGACAAAAACCCAGAAAATATGTGAACATATGGGGAGTCATGTTATTTGTGTGTATTTATTTGTGTCCCAGGGCCCCTTCGCAGGTGCGTGGAGCTCTCACCTGCATGCCAGGCCTGCGGGGCGCCAGCCCTCTGAGTGGGGCGCTTCCAGGAGTGAGCTTGCCCGCCTGCGCAGGGAAGCGGCGGAGGGGCCTTGGGGAGGGGAGGCCGCACGGGGCTTGACGACCTCTGCCGTCCGTCAGCTCGCGCTGGCACGGCAACGAGTTGCTCTCCAGGTGCCCTCGGAGATCTCCGGGTGCCCCCGGGGTGAGCCAGGCCTCCGTGGATGTGCCTCCTCGATCGGTCTGCGTGCCCTTGCTCTGCCTGCCCAGCCTGGTACCCGCAGGTCGACCTGCGAGAAGTCGGCGGGCCATTCGGGAGGAGGGTGCAGTGCAGCAGCCCTGACGCATCCTCATCCTCTTGGCTCTTCGTACCAGCAGCCTTGGCGAGCTCGTTTTCCCTGTTGTCACCGTCGTGGGCCCTGGACGATCGAATAGCGCTAGAACAACGCTAGGTCGTTTAGCATGTTGAACTGCGTGTTGTAGCGTTTGTTGCTGTATTGCTTTGCAGGGTGATGATGATGGTGATGATGATGATGATGATGATGATGATGCTGATGAGAATAGTAGTGCGAATAATAATAATAATAATAATTATAATAATAATAATAATAATAATAATAATAATAATAATAGTAATAATAATAATAATACTAATAATAATAAGAAGAAGAAAAACAATAATAATGAGTCATCATCGTCCTCATCCTCATCCTTCTGTTGCGTGCTCCGCGTGTGAATGGTGCACAGGGCTCCTGTTGGGCAGGCGGGGGAGGACGTACGGGGCGCCCTGAACCTTTAAGGAGACCGTCGGTCTCCAAACAGTGCCTCCCCCGGGGCGCTCTGTAGCACGCCACTGGGGCGACACAGGCAACTCTGTCTTCACTGGGTTGTCGGCGGCGCGCCCAGGGGGAAGTGAGAGTGTGCAGGCCTTCTCAGAAGACGGCGGGGCTTCTCAGAAGCCCTCTTGCCCTTGAGCAGCCGTCTGCGTCTTCGGAGAAGGCACAGACAGCTTCTCAGAAGTTCAAAGGCCTTCCGAGAGAAGGTCGGCCCCCTCTGACTTTCCCCTACAGTGGCATACCATGGCAAGAAACACCCAGCTTGCCTCCACGATGCCCTGGGTGTCTTGGTTTTCGATGGTTTTGCTTTGGAAAGCGTGACGTGCCCGCAGCAAACATCAGTGGACCTCCTGGGGTCTGAGGGTTGGGTTTCTCGTGGAAGATTTCTTGTGGTCCGGCCTCCACTGTACAGTCAGGAACTTTGGCTTAGCGGGTCGCGGCGAGTTCTGGCCCACTACGCTTCGGCGCGGCACGCTGTCCATATCCTGGTCCCTAGGCTGATGTTCCAACCTATTTGAGCCTTAACCACCAAAAAAGAGTTTCGAGCACCAACAAAGCGCCGACATTTGGAGGTTTTCAGGTGTCGGGCCCTGGATGGCGATGCTCGTTCGACACCGTTTCGATACTTTCCTGGGCGCTCAAAATTGTTTATGAGAGCAACATCAACCTTGATTAGGGTCAAGAACTTTGGTTCAGCGGGTCGCGCCGCCAGTTCTGGCCCACCACTCGGCGGCGAGCGAGAGGGAGAAATGAGAAGGAGGAGACCTTCTCTTGGAGTCCCCTTGGGGTAACTTTGGGAGGTCTTGGGGCGCTCTTGGAGATCCAGGAGGCCGCCCACAGGAAATTTCCGGCATCCGATGGGGAGGCTTGCCCGCCACTGTTGCGGGGCATTACCACATGGGCTGGCCCGCGCGCGCGAACTGGGTGAAGAGCGAACAGCACACACCCATACCCATTGGGGGGACGAAGGGGGCTATGGGTGCGTGTTGTCGGATGGGGGTCCCCGCTCGAACGGAATCCTCCCCCGCGGCCCGACAACCCGCACCCATACCCATAGCCAGTCCTCCTCCCTCCGAGACCCATATGGTCACGGGTGCATGCTGTTCGTTCGTCGCTAGTAGCATACGAAGAATCTGGAACCAAGCTGGAAATTCTAGCACGCCGTTGGCCCGTGGCGCCGGCGAAATTGCAAGAAAGAGAGATGGACGACGAGGCGAAGAAGGCGGAGGAAAAGGAGGAGGAGGAGGAGAAGGAGGAGGAGGAGGAGGGGGAGGAGGAGGAGCTGGAAATAGAGGACGAGGAGGAGGAGGCGACGGCGCGGGCCCTTCGCGCGCGCGCGTTCCCCGCGCAGGCAGCAGCGCCTGACGGCCCGGGCGCCGGCATGGCGCCAGCGAGCGCCCCTGCGCCAGGCGGCGCCGGCGCAGTCGCTGGGCCCCCGCGGGGGGCGGCGGCGGCGGCGGCGGAGCTGCCCGCGGCGCCGCGGGAGCTGGGCCTCTGGCGGACGGAGGGGCGCGGGCACGGGCTTTGGGGCGCCTTGCGCTGTGGAAGTCGAGGAATGGAGAGGGTGCATGCTGCGAAATAATTCCCAGACGTCTCAACACTGGTTCAAGCATGCTGAAAACATGGAAAAAACATGTTTGACATCTGTCTAGAACAAGTTTTACACATGTTAACACATGTTTAATTCAATGATCGTATTGTTAGAGTGTGCATTGTCATGGCATCCACAAGCCTTGACGACAGGGCCGTTTTTTTATCGGTTCCGACGCCGTTTTTTACCAGTTCCGTCGCCGTTCTTTTACGGGTTCCCGCTCCGGTTCCAATCCTGGAGCCGTTTTTGTTGCCGTTTCCGGTCGCGTTTTTTGCCGTTCCCATTTTCAAGGGACACTTTTTTGGGAAACGGTGAAAAAACGGCCCTGCCGTTTCCGGGGCCCACTAAGACCGGCACCGATGTCCGACGCTCTGGAGAGCAGTTGAGCATGTTTGGCCCAGGAGGGAAAAAACACGCCGACACAATTAACCGTCGATTCCCCAGAAAATGTTGGAAAGTATGGGAAGTGCGGGGGGAAGACAGAAACCCAGAAACGATGGGAAAATGTGGGGAATCCTGCTATTTGTGTCTATTTATTTGCGTGTCCCAGGGCCCCTTGAGATGTGTAGGTTCTGCGAAGTTGCGGCGGTCGGGGAGAGGTGGTCTTCGTCTCGGGCTGCAGGGCCACCAGCAGAGTCACGGTCGGGCCGAGGCAAAAGGGCGAGGTCGGTTCGGGGAGGGTGCCCCAGTGTTCTTCGTGTTTGTGGGATGTTTTTGTGCATCCTGGTGAGGGTACCCTCGCATGTTCTGCGTGTTTTTGCCGGCGGAGGGTCTCAAGTTCTTGTCAGGGTGTCACTTGATGGGGCGGGCGATTCTTCATGGGGGGGGCCGCGAGGGCTGCAGAAAAGGGGACCGTTGGGGCTTCTACAGAAGTATATACATGTATATATATATATACATATACATATATATATATGTATACATATATATATATATAGAGAGATCCAAGTATGTATATATATATATATATATATATATATGTATGTATGTATGGGTGTATGTCTGTATGTATGGATGTATGTCTGTATGTATGTATGTCTGTATGCTTGTGTATATGTGTATATAGATGTGTATGTGTATGCCTCCTTGCCCGCTCCTGGGCCCAGGCTGGGCCAGGCCTGGGGCAGCGCACAGGAATCGCTCTCGCCGCTCTACACCCCGCATGGCAAGGGCGAGCAACTTTCCAGGGTTACTCCTTGCATCCCTCCCCTTCGGCTTATGGTGTTCCAACCTACTTTAGCTTTGATCACCAGAAAGAATGTTGAGTGTCCACAGAAGTATCGAAACTCGAGGGTTTTCGCGTGACGGGCCCTGGGAGACACTCGTCCGACACTGTTTCGGCACTCTTTCGACACTCTTTGACACTTTTCCGGGTGCTCGAAATTATTTCTGGGATGCGGTCCTTAAGTAGGATGGGGACAACATAACCCTTCGGCCCATCCTGGCCGCTTTCGCTGGCTGCGCCCCGCCCGCAAAAGTGTCGACATGGTCTTCCAAGGCCCTGGCCTCCTTACCGTTCGTCCCTCTGATGCGGACTCGCTCTTTCTCTGGCCGGCCCCCGCGGGAAGGGTCGAGAAGTTCTGGGGCCCGCGTCGCGAGCAACGTCACAGCGGCAGACGTCTTGGGGGGCACGCGCGGCGCGGGCAGGTCCGGAGGGAGCCAAAACACACAGACGCAGCGAAGCGCCGATGCATCGCTAATGCGGCTCGATGAGGTGCCCGTGCTCTCCCACGCCAGCGAGTCGCCGATGTATCGGCGATGCATCGCCGATACAGGGAGGAGGAGGAGGAGGAGGAGGAGGAGGAGGAGGAGGAGGAGGAGGAGGAGAAGGAGGAGGAGGAGGAGGAGAAGGAGGAGGAGGGGAGGAGGAAGGGAGGGAGGAGGAGGAGGAGGAGGAGGAGGAGGAGGGACGAGGAGGGGGGAGGAGAGGAAGGAGGAGGAGGAGGAGAGGAGGAGGAGGAGGAGGAGGAGGAGGAGGAGGAGCAGGAGGAGGAGGAGGAGGAGGCCCGCCCGTGCCTGCGGGGCCTCTCGTGCCCGCGTGTCCGGCGCAGTGCCGAGCACAGGGCCGCCCGCGGCGCGCCTGTGCGCTGCAGCGGTCCCCTCCGTGGGTCACCCCCCGGGGGGCGCGAGGAGGAGCGCGCTTCTCACGCCTCACGGCCGGCATCGCTCGGACGTGTGCCTGTGTCCTCGGCGAGAGCCATCGGGGGCCCTCCTGGACCATCGAGCAAAAAACAAAAGCCCATCGAGGAGGACCCTCCTGGACCATCGAGCAAGAACAAAAGCACGCACGAGACCGAGAAGTGCACGGGAAAAGGGCGTCCGAGCGATGGCAAGCACGGCTCGGGTTGGAGAGGCGCCCTCCTCCCGGGCGGCGGCACGAGGGCGCGAAGGCGACCGCGCGCCGCACACCGCGGTGTGCGATGCGCGGCAGTTTGGTGGTCTGCGTCCTGGCTGGGCCCATTCCCAGGCCCAGCATTATGTCGGGCCTGTCCCCCTGCAGGGGGATTTTCGACGAGAAATATAAACATACCCCAAAAATACCCCAAGAAGGTCGAACAATACCCCAAAATTCGTCCCCAGACTATTTTTGTAGCATTTTTTGACAATTTGGGGAGTTTTTGTTTTTTCGTCGACAATCCCCCTGTAGGGGGACAGGCCCGACTTAAGCCCAGCATCGTCGGGTGCATGCCCCCTTTGGCCAAGCCAGGAGCGGAGAGGTGCGCATCCGTCGATCCTGGGCCCAGGATTTCCAGGGCCAGGAACCGGGTGCGCGTGTACAGTCGACGTCCGCATGCCTCCCCCATCGAAGGTGACCCTTGGACCTTTCATGGAACGCTGTCTGACCAGGAGCTCGAGGCGGATCCACACGTGGCGGCAAGGACTCTCCAGGGCCCCCAAAGAGTGGTGAAATACGTCAAATGCTGTTATACTCATTGTCATGCGCCTCCTCCTCCTCCTCCTTTCTTTCGTTGCGCGGACTTAGATCGGATGATCTTGGCGTCTGTCCTTCTCCTCCTCCTCCTCCTCCTCCTCCTCCTCCTCGAGGACAGGAGGAGGGCGACTCGGTCGGACAACGGGCCACAGAGGTGGGCACCGAAGCTGCCCCTGGCGGCTCGCCAACGACATCCACGCAACGACGACGACGACCTCGACGATCTCGACGACGATCCTGCGGACGCCGCTGCTGGCAGCGACCACGAAGACCACAACGACCACGACGACCACGATGGCCACGTCGGCCACGACGGCCACGGCGATCGACGACGACGACCACAGCCACGACAACCGCCATTGCGACGACGACCCACGACGACAACGGCGATTGACGACGATCACCACGACGACCGACGACGACGACGACGACGACGACGACGACGACGACGACGACTTCGACGACGACGACGACGACGACGACGGCGACGACGACGACGACGACGACGACGGCGGCGACGACGACGACGACGACGACGACGACGACCACCGACGACGAGCCGCGCGCGAGGGGAGGCCCTGCTCACCGCCCCGGGTGCGGCCCTGGCGCTCCAGCTGGGCCGCAGGGCCCGCGAGGAGCGGACACAGGGGGGCGAGGGCAGCTAAGAGGAAGGGCCGGGCGAGACGCCAGCGGCGATCCTCCTCCTCCTCCTCCTCCTCCTCCTCCTCCCTCGCCACTGTCTCCTCCTTTTCCTCCTCCTCCTCCTCCTCCTCCTCCTCCTCATTCTTGCCCTTCTCCTCCTCCTCCTCCTCCTCCTCCTCCTCCTCCTCCTCCTCCTCCTCCTTGCCTCCTCCTTGCCTCCTTCGGCTCGCTCGTCCTCCCTTCCTCGCCCCTCCTCATCCTTCTCCTTCTCCCCCTCTCCCGGCGCTCCCTCTCCGCGCTCCTTGTCCCCAGGGCTCCCGTTCCTGCACGCTGATCCTCTCCTCCTCCGCCGTCCTCCTCGCCCCCCCCCCCCCCCCCGCGCGCCCTCCCCTCCCCCCCCCCCGGTCCCGCGAGATCGGTGCCCCTCCCTCGGCGTTGGCCCTGGCGGCGCTGCCCTCGCTGTCGTGCCCGCTGCTGCTGTACCTCCTCGGGCGCCGCGGGGGGGCGTGGGCGCAGACCTCCTCCTCCCCAGCCTCCTCCCGCCTACTCCTCCCCCCTTTTCTCCTCTCTCCCCCGTCTCTCACCTCCCCTTGCTCCCCCGTTCCTCCCTCCCAGCTCCTGCTCCTCCTGCCCCTCCCTGATGCCCGTCCTCTGCTTTCTTCACCTCGTGCGGTCTCCTCCTCCTCATCACCCTCCTTGCCTTCCTCCTCCTCCTCCTCCTCCTCCTCCTCCTCCTCCCTTCCCGCTCCTGCTCCTCCTGCCCCTCCCTGTTGCCCGTCCTCTGCCTTCTTCACCTCGTGCGGTCTCCTCCTCATCATCATCACCCTCCTTGCCTTCCTCCTCCTCCTCCTCCTCCTCCTCCTCCTCCTCGCCCATCCCTCCACCCGCCCCTCGCTCGCGTCCCCGCGCGGAGAGGAGGAGTGCGCAATTAGTGGCAGCAGAAGGAGGCGGAGGGAAGGGAGGAGGAGGAGGAGGAGGCGATAATGCCAGCTTGTGATTAACAAAAGGCCCCCCCCCCCTCCCACCCCGTGGGCTGATGAATACACCCCGCGGGGCGCGATACCTTTTTTTAATCACGCGCTCCAGGGGGAAGGAGGAGAGAGGAGGGGGAGGGGGGAAGGAGGAGAAGGAGGAGGACGAGGAAGAGGAGGAGGAGGAGAGGGAGAAGGAGGAACAGGAGGAGGAAGAGGCGGAGCAGGAGGAAGAGGAGGAGGAGGAGGAGGAAGGGGGGGTTGCAAAGCCTGCTGCGCGCAGCTGGTTTCGGTCGCCCTGTCGAAGGACGCATGGCCGCTTTCGGCGCCAGGAGGCGCGTGGAGCATCGGCGACGTGAGCTGCTTGGCAGATTCCCCCTTTGCTGCGCCCCACTTTCGTCCCTCCCGCCTTGCCCGCAGGCCGCATCGGCTTCGACAGACGGAAGGGCGCCCTGGCTCGCCTGTTGCCTCCAAACACCCCTCCCTTGCCCCATTGTTGGCGGCAGGGCGTCGGCGCTGAAAAACCGGCGCCGCCCTGTTGATTTTCAAGATGGTGGGCGCCACCCCGCGATTCGCCCGAGCAAGGGAATTATTGTTGTTTCAATCGCGCGCCCCCCACGGGTTCATTAATCACAAGCTGACAAGAAAGGTCGTCGTCGCCGCCGCCGTCGTCGTCGTCATCTTCTGTCGACGTTGCCCGTCGTCGTCGTGGTGCTTTTGTGTGTGTCGCCGTGGTGCTTCTGTGTGTCGCCGTCGTCGGTTTCCATCGGTGGCCGAAGGCTTCCGGAAAGGGTCTTGTCGGTGTTCTCTTCGGGATGCCCGGCGGAGTCCCCAGCAGATCGGGGCGCGCGCCTCCGTTGCCTTCGGGCGCCAGGACCTTCACAGATCGGCCTAGCCCGAGAACGCACGCGTAACGATGGGGGCCGCCAGTTACCTGTCGGTCGTTGAAAATTTGTATTTTTCTGCACTTCCAGATCCTGGTCTACTTTCGGTGCTTTCCTACCTCAATGGCCGAGTGGTTTCCCCTTCAGGGGGCGGGCGGAAGCCCAACTTATTTCCAACGCCTTCATACTTCATGGTTTTGTTCCAGCTTCTTCCGACCAACGGGTAGTGTCGTGAGTCTTGTGTCCAGCGTCGCTTCTGCTCACGACTCAGGGGTCCCCAGCATCGCTTTTGTGCCAAGTCGGGATCTTAGCCCATCCGACCCTCGGGTGGGCAGCCAAGTGGGTCCGAGTCCAGACGTTGGCGAGTTCGGCCACCGAGTGGGCTCGCTCCTGGGCTCGCTCGGCGACCGAACGCGCGGCTCAAACTCCAAACGGGTTCAGGGGGGAACCCTTGGGGAGTCTACTTCAAGTTCCGTAAATTGTTGAAGCCCACCAAGGATTGCCGAAGACGTCTGCCCAAGCCGCCGAGAAAAGGGAAAAGGCAACAGCACAGGGCGCTGGCAGGGCCGTGCTGGGCACTGCGGGCCCAGTTCCCTCACCGACCGCGCCGATTTCCCAGGCGGGCCGGCGTTTTTTTGCCTTGCTCCCACTGAAGCCCCTGGGACCCCCACCAGAATACCCCCGCACACACAGTCAAAATCAATCCATCTCCTCCCTCCTCCTCCGTCCCTCCCCCTCCCCTCTTCCCCCTCCCCCGAAGCCGACCTCCAGATTCACTCCCGGAGCGCGTCCTGCTCAGGATCTCCAGGTGGGTCCAGCCGCGGGCGGCGACGAGCGGGCACAGGGCGGCGCGAGAGAGAAGCGACGCGCGTCGCGTCCTGCTCAGGATCTCCAGGTGGGTCCAGCCGCGGGCGGCGACGAGCGGGCACAGGGCGGCGCGAGAGAGAAGCGACGCGCGTCTCCTCCTCCTCCTCCTCCTCCTCCTCCTTCCTCCTTCCGTCCTCCTCCTCCTCCTCCCTCCTCCTCCCCCCTCCTCCTTTTTCCTCCTCCTTTTCCTCCTCCTCCTCCTCCTCTCCTCCTCCTCCTCCCTCCGCCCTCCTCCCTCCCTCCCCCCTCCTCCTCCTCCTCCTCCTCCGTCCTCCTCCTCCCTCCTCCTCCTCCTCCTCCTCTCCGCCTCGCCCCTCCCCTCCCCTTCCCCTCCCCCTGGCCTCCTCCTCCTCCTCCTCCTCCTCCCTACTCCTCCTCCTCCTCCTCCTCCTTCTCCTTCCCCCCCTCCTCGAGGATGTGGCACGTGGCGAACCCAGACCTCCGACTAACTCAGCGCTGTTCGGAGGTGGACGGACCTCCTGCCCCGACACGTCGATTCAGGACTTGGCCGTTGTCGGTTCGCGAGAGGGCGTCGCGGCCGTCATTGTTGCGGCTCCAGGCCCGTCGGTTTCGGTCCCAGGCCGTTTTCATTAAGGGGAGCTTTGCTAAAGGGAGGTTTGTCCACCGCCACTCGGTCCCAGCAGCCCTCGGCAAGGACAAGCTCCTCGGCCCGCGTGTGTGTATGTCGGACAGTCCTTGACGGCACTCGGGCCCAGACACGGCCCCCGCAGACGCCGAAAGTTACAACCAACGGCGAAGAACACAACGCAGACATACAGCCGGGGCGCTGAAGAAGGAACCCTTTTCGTTGGGGAGGGGCTCGGTGTTCCTTGATTGTTGCAAAGTTTGCCTCGGGTTTCCCTGAGGCTCTCCATCGGAAATCGAAGTTTAACTTCTGGGAAAAGGGGGCCTCGTTCCTTATGTATCGTTCCTTAGGGCAACGCCCCGACGGTATGAGCGACGCACAAAAGAGGGGGTGTCCGAGCCGACCTTGGCGCGCAAGCTGCTCGCGTCCGGTCGGGCGTGGGCGCCCTCGCTTCCAGTGTGGCGTGCTGCGCCGGCGGCCCGGGTAAGCCGCGCGGCGTAAGGTCGCTGTGTGCCCTCTCGCGCAAGGCCCCTTTTTTATCCTCGCCGCCCCTCCAAGACTGCAGTCGGGGCCCTGAAGAAGGAGCCCTTTTCGTTGGGGAGGGGCGGCGTGTTCCTTGATCGTTTCGCAGCTTGCCTTAGGCTTTCCTTAGGTTTTCGAAGGGGCATCGAACTTTAACGGATGGGAGAAAGGGGCCTCGTTCCTTATTTAGCGTTCCTTAGGTCAACGCCCCCACTGTATGGCATCTCGCGCAAGACCCCTTTTTATCTTCACCGCCCATCTAAGACTAACGCCACAGTCGGGAGAGGCTGGGACAGAGATACGTAATTCCAGAGCGCTCCCAGCGACCTGGTCGTGCGCGCGGGGGCGGCTGTGGTGCCGGAGCCACACGGCGGGGGGGGGGGCGTGCCGGGCGGCGGGGGGGGGGCGTTACGTCACACCCACCTCCCCGCACCCCCCCCCCCCCCCCCCCACATGACGCCCGTCATCGCCGAAGATAAAGAAACGCTCTCCCAGCGCCGCAGCCAGGAGAGGCTGGGACCGGGATGCGTAGTTCCAGAGCGCCTTTCCAGCGACCCGGAGCGGCCGCGGCGCCCGACTCCTGGAGATCTCCGACTCATTTAGGGGGCTCCCGAGCGAAGTGAACCCCACCCTCCCCCTCAGACATCGTGGGGGGTAGGGGTAGGGTTCGCCTGCTGCCCCCCCTATCATTCCGGTCCGCTGCTGGCCCGGTCTTGGCTTCGCCTTGCGTGTCCCCCGAGTCGCCAGAGGCTTGGCAGGTGGCCGGGGCAGGGCAGGGGCCACCCCACCGAGGCGGCATTCCGGGCGTGGTGCGACGACGACGACGACGAGGACGACGACGAGGACGACGACGAGGACGTAGACGACGACGACGACGACGACGACGACGACGACGACGACGAGGAGGGTTCAGCGGACGCGGCACAATCTCCGAAGAATAGACCCCCTGAGATCCTTCAGCTCGGCGATCTGGCCCCTGAGCGTCTCCAGGGCGACTCGGGAGGCGACATGAGCGCCTCTCTGGCCCCTAATCCTCGCCTTCCCAGTCGCCATGGAGGCGCTCAAGGGCCAGATCGCTGAACTGATGGACCTCAGGGTGCGCACCGAAGAATACAGTCGGGGCGCTGAAGAAGGAACCCTTTTCGTTGAGGAGGAGCTCCGTGTTCCTTGATTGTTTTATAGCTTGCCTTAGGTTTCCCCTCGACTTTCGATGGGAAATCGAAGTTCAACTTATGGAAAAAAGGGGCCTCGTTCCTTATTTAGGGTTCCTCAAGTCAACGCCCCGACTGAAGACCCCCGCGAGGGAGGGAGGGCAGGGGCTACCCCACCGGAGCGGTACTCCGGGCGTGGTATGACGGCCGGTTGCCGCGCCCGCAGTAGCCGCGCCGCGGGCGTCTTGGCCGGCAGAAAGGAGCAGCGGCTGCAGCAGGGCGAGGAGGGGGAGGGAAGGAGGCGGAGGAGGAGGAGGAGAGGGGGGCAGGAGGAGGAGGCGGGGGGAGGGAGGGGGAGGGGGGAGGGGGGGGGGGGGGGAGGGGGAGGGGGGTAGGGGGAGAGGAGGATGGGAGGAGGAGGAGGAGGAGGAGGAGGAGGAGGAGGAGGATGAGGAGGAGGAGGAGGAGAAAGAGGAGGAGGAGGAGGAGGAGGAGGAGGAGGAGCAGGAGGGGGAGGAGCAGAAAGAGAAAGAGAAAGAGAAAGAGAAGGAGGAGGAGGAGGAGGAGGAGGAGGAGCAGGAGCAGGAGGGGGAGTAGGGGGAGGAGGGGGAAGGAGAGGGAGGGAGGGAGGGAGGGGAGGCGGAGGAGGAGAGAGGAGGAGGCGGCAACGACTAGGACCGAATCGGATGCAGAAGTGTGGCCCGCACTGGGCCAGAAACAGGAGCAGCGGCTGCATCAAGGGGGGGATCAGCATCCTGCAACCGATCCCCGCGCCCACTGAGCAATGGAGCTCAGCGCGCCACCAGCCCGCGCCCCAAGGTGGACAGGGGCCCCGCGAAACCCGAAGGAACAAACAGATATGGTCCAGGGCCCGTCGACCCCCCCCCTCTATATGGATCGGGCCGCCCTCATTCTCCCGATGGGTGCCCCTCGCACCTGTGTGTGTTGTGTGTGTTGTGTGTTGTGTGTTGTGTGTTGTGTGTTGTGTGTGTTGTGTGTGTTATGTGTGTTGTGTGTGTTGTGTGTGTTGTGTGTTGTGTGTGTGTGTTGTGTGTTGTGTGTGTTGTGTGTGTGTGTGTGTTGTGCTTGTTGTGTGTGTTGTGTGTGTGTTGTGTGTGTTGTGTGTGGTGTGTGTTGTGTGTGTGTTGTGTGTGTTGTGTGTGTTGTGTGTTGTGTGTTGTGTGCTGTGTGTTGTGTGTTGTGTGTTGTGTGGTGTGCGGTGTGTGTGTGTGGTGGTGTTGTGTGGTGTGTGTGTGTGTTGTGTGTTGTGTGTTGTGTGTTGTGTGTTGTGTGTTGTGTGTTGTGTGTTGTGTGTTGTGTGTTGTGTGTGTGTGTGTGTGTGTGTTGTGTGTGTGTGTGTGTGTTGTGTTGTGTGTTGTGTGTTGTGTGTGTGTGTGTGTGTGTGTGTTGTGTGGTGTGTTGTGTGTTGTGTGTTGTGTGTTGTGTGTTGTGTGTTGTGTGTTGTGGTTGTGTGTTGTGTGTTGTGTGTGTGTTGTGTGTTGTGTGTTGTGTGTTGTGTGTTGTGTGCTGTGTGCTGTGTGCTGTGTGCGTGTGCGTGCGTGCTTGCGTGCGTGGGCGTGCGTGCCTGCGTGCGTGCGTGCGTGCCGTGCGTGCGTGCGTGTGTGTGAGTGTGTGTGTGTGTGTGTGTGTGTGTGTGTGGGTGTGTGTGTGTGTGTGTGTGTGTGTGTGTGTGGTGTGTGTGTGTGTGTGTGTTGGTTGTGGGGGGGGGGGGGGCTGCTGTGGAACCCTCATGGGGGTCCATTCTTCGGGGCCTCGCGCCGCGTGCGCAAAATCCTTGTGGTCATCGCAGTGTCTTGCGAGACCTTCAAACTGTTGTGCGCTTTTCACTTCAGGCTAAACTGAGCATGGACGCGCTCGTCCCGGGCGGCCCTGCCTTCTACGCGGAAGCCTGCCAGAAGCTTTCGCAGTTGAGCGCCAACGCTCCTCCTTTCATTCAAAAAGACACCACGCGGCTTTGCGCGGCACAGGGCTTCACCTTCCTCCCCACGTTGGTGGAACCCCCTACGGCGGAGGGTGGGACCGCGAGGCACGCAGTGCCTCTGGGGTCTTGGCCAAGCGGGTGGCTGACGCCACGGGGGATGACGTCGCAGCAGTTGCAAACCAGCGCGCCCAGCGCCCTCCCGTTTCCTTGCGCAGGGAGAACGTGCGGGCGGTGCTGCGGCGCCCCCCGACCCAGCCTGACTGGGCGGGAGTGGCAGCGGCCCGCCTGGCTGGGGCCACGGGTGTCTCCATGGCGGACGCCGTGTGAGGCGTCCCCAGCGCTGCCTAGCGCCCCCCGCCCCCCCCCCCTTCTTGCTGGGCAGCACGGACGCCCACCGCGCCCTTCCGCCCACCGGCGATGCTCTCGTAGCCGACGTCCTCCTGGTCGTTCTGGCCTGCCGGGCCCTGCCCAGGCGGACGGCGGGGCCGCGGGGTCCCTCCGCTTCCGCCTCCAGGCCAGGCGGCGGCTGCGCTGGCCGCGGGCGAGCCGCGCCAAGCCGCGGCGGGTATTAGAATTGATTGTGATGATGAAAGAATCTCGAGATCCAAAGAGAACACAAATCTCTGCTTGCTCGAGGGATCGCAAGATTCCAAAGAAGCGTCCGGATCTTCCTGTCCGCGCACGAGAGCAGGACCATGAGCCTCGTCCCTCACCCCTGAACGTCGAGATTCCGCCCCCCCCTATCCCGCGCGCCTCCCGCTCCTGTTCCCTCTCCTCTTCATCCGCCCGCGCAAAAACGGGGAAACGCAAGAAACGAGTACGCCTGGACTCGGGTTCCGCCCTGGCTTTTGGCAGTCCAGTCTTCGCGAGATGTTTGCTGAGGGGGCTCGCGTCACACTTCTGAGTACGCCAGGACTCGAAGAAGAAAAAACGCATAAACATCAAATTGTGGCGCTCCGCACGGATTTCTTGGATCTGCGCTGGGCCCCCCAGGCGGCGCCTCCGGCGCCGCCCCTGCCGCGCTCCGCGCGCCAGGGAGGGGAGTCCAGCGCAGATCCAAGAAATCCGCGCGGAGCACCAGAAGTTTCTGTTTATGGTTATCTTGTTTTTTCTTCTTCTAAGGACTCGGGTTTGCCGGCGCTTTTTGACGAGCCCGCCCTGGCGTTTGGCGGTCCAGAGTTCGTGGGATGCCTGCAAAGGGAACTCGCGTCACACGTCAGAGTGGGTCTCGTCATTTTCCTGCCGGCCCCATCAGGCCAACCCGAATCTTCCGACTCCGAATCTTACGTTTCACCGCACACGACCCTGGCGAAGGACATCGTTTCAGCGGTGGACCCCTTCGTGATTAACCCCGCTGCCGCAGCGGCACGGGCCTCGGTGCCGCTGATAGTCTCCTCCGTGCTGACATTCGTTCTTGTCGTTATCGTCGCGTTCGGCGCCAGGGAGTTTTCTGAGGTGTGAGCGTTGTTTTTTGTGGCGAGTGTACCCGTGGGGTGTCTCAAATTTCGCCTTGAGCGTTGATGACAAAAGTCCGCCACGTCCGTTTCCAATGCGCGAGTTCCCTTTTTGTTTCCGATTGCGCATCGCATGTCGGAGCGTCGGGTCCGCCATGACACGCGTCGGCGGATAGAGTAAACACAGCACAATGGGACGGGATGGGTGGGAGGGTCAGCATGTCCGATACTCACCACCCACCAAACCACCCCAACCCAACCCGAAGGCTCAGATTTACCCTCGATTTCCAGTTGGGGGCGGGGCGGGAAACATAGAAAAAACACGTGTGGAACCCTTACCCCCCCCAACCCGAAATTCGGGTCTTCGGGTTGGGTTGGGGTGGTCTGGTAGGTAGTCAGGAGGGTCAGCATGTCCGATACTGTGCGAGCGCACCTCCCTTGTCATCTTCCCTTCCTCCACTCCTGCCGCCCCCCGCTCCCGGTGCACCAGCCCCCTCCGATTATTCCCGCTTCTCTCCTGCTCTGCGCACCTCGCTCTGGCCGCAAGGAAGAATGGGACAGCGTGGGCGACACTCGCTGCCACCCGTGCGTGATGCAGCCCCTCTCTTTCAGGAGAGGAAAAAAAGCACACAGACACAATGAATCGTCGATTCCTAGGAAAATATGGGAAAATATGGGAAGTGGGGGGAAGAGAGAAACCCAGAAAATATGTGAAAATATGGGGAAGAACTTTATTTGTGTGTATTTATTTGTGTGTCCTTGGGCCCCTTCACTCTTTCCCAAGACCCCCGACGACCCCACTCCTCCATTCCTGTTGGAGCCGCCGGCCCTCGGAGCCAGCCGCCGGCCTCTTCCTCGGGCCCGGCCCTGCACCCTGCTGTACTCCCGGCCCTGGGGCCCAGGAGCGGCTTCCCGACGCCCCGACTCGAAAACCACCTCCGACGTTGCTTGTCGGGGTCGCCATGTGAGCGACGCAACAACGGTGTCGTTTTCGCCGGCACTGGCGCGTAAGCCGCGGCGTAAGGTCGCTTCATCGTCTCGCGCAAGATCCGTTTTGATCGTCGCTCATGTGGGCAGACTTGGCATCGCTCGGACGTGTGCATTTTGTCCTCGGCGAGGACCGTCGAGGACCATCCTGGACCATCGAGCAAAAAAAAACACGCACGAAACCGAAAAATGCACGGGCAATGGACGTCCGAGCGATGGCGCGTTTGATAATCGCTCATGTGGGCAGAAGTCCAGCCGAAGCCCGTTCAGAATCTGGCCTTCAGTCGGGCCCGTCCCGCTACAGGAGGAATGTTCACCAATAGTCCCGATGGTCTGGGGACTATTTTTTATAGCATGATTTGACGATCTTGGAGTATGTTTTGAGCATTTTTTGTTTTTGGCGGCGCGCACAAGGGGGTAGGGGGAGGGGGGAAGGCTTCTTAGAAAGAGGCTGCTTCTTAGAAGGCGCAGGCCTTACATCCACAGACAAGGCCCGCGCTTTCTTAGAAGCAGCCTCCTTCTAAGAAGCCTTCCCCCCTCCCCCTATCCCCCTCTGCGCACGGCCGAAATTTGTCGCCCGAAATCCCCCCCCTTGTATGGGGGACAGGCCCGACGTAACGCCCGGCTCCCCGAGCCGCGCCCGGCCGGCCAGCACGCGGAGACGCCCCCGAGCGCTCCCCCAAAAACGCTCCCCCGGGCGCCCGCGCGCCGGGCCCCCCCCCCCACCCGCTCTGCGGCGGCACGCCCGATCAGGGGCAGCGATAGGGGCAGGGGAAGAAGCACACAGACACAATGAATCGTTGATTCCCCAGAGAATGTGGGAAAATGTGGGAAGTGTGGGGGGAGAGACAAGAACCCAGAGAATCTGGGAAAA